GGGGGGGATGGAGGCAGGGACCACACTGCAGTGCTGCACAGACAGCCAACCACTTATGAAGTTGGATAGCCCTGCACCAACTTATCCTGTAACTACATCAGCACTCAGCTATTTGCTCACAGACATGCAGCTCCCCACTAACTCCTGGCACTTCACAAAGCAACCTCTCCTCTCCCCCGTGCCCCACACCAGACCTATAAGTGTTTGCTGTTGGGGTGGGGGAAACTGAGATCCACTTTGGAGACAATCTAGGAGAAGCTGCATGTCTGTAACTTCTCTCCGCTAGTCCTGCTGCCTCTACCTTCCCAACTCCAGTGCTAGTTTCAGGATGGGATGGGGCTCCAGTTTGGGGTTTGCCCAGCCTGTGCTGGAGGGTGGTGGGGGGCTCCAATCAACCCCCTCCTGCACTGGTTGGGAAAACCTCAGACCAGAGCTCCTTTCCCTCCCCTTCTCCCCATCCCATCCTGCAGACAGCCCTGGGGCCAGAGCTCAGCAGCATCAGTCCAGCCCTACTTGTGCACAGGGACAAACAGAAATTAATGAAGGAGCACTAGATGATGGTTTGTGTCATGTGATCAGTCACTTTTTAAAAGCACTCAACAACCAAGCACTTCTGTTAAGGCACAGCTGTGGAGTGCTTTCAAGGGACTGATCATTCAACAGATATCACTTCCATCAGTTCTTTTTTTTTCCAAAATCATTGTTATATAGCATCTCATTTTAATTCTCAGGTCAAGATCAAATCTCTCTGCTTGTCTTCAATGGTTTCTTTCAGAAGAGCTACAACCCAAGTTTCCATTTGTGATGTAGAAGTGACTAGATTCCACTATCCAAAATTGAGGTTTTTTTTTAGTTCATACTAAAACAAAGTACAACATCCGATAGCTAAAACAATGCATCAGATGCCACATCAGAATAGAATAATGTTTGGGGGCAGGGAAGAGAAGAGGGGATAGAAAAAAATTGGATGTCTAGACAGAGTGAGTGACATGGTTAATATCATATGTACACTGAAGTGTGAATTTTTAGCATAGAATAGAAAGGATCCTGAAGTTGTTCATGGACTACTAGTTTAGGCAAACATCCAGGGAGTATATTTCATTCCACTGCGAAAAAAAAAAGCCTGATACTGTAACATTTCTACATACCCCCTGCCATAGGAGTTCTGCCTCTAATGGGAATGAAACTAGTTTTAGACAATGAAATGGTCTGAAAAACACTAACCTACAGATAGTGATGACATGTGCTGATATGGAGCAGCTGGAGACTTCCAGCTCTTTTTTCCATAAGGAAACTCCATCTTAAAACTAGTTAGATTGGTTGCCCCCAGTATTATTACCAGGAGATTGTTCCAAAGGAACCCACTGAACTGATGGTTAGAAAAGTCTTCTAAGTTTCAGGCTAAATTTATTTCATGGGTGACTTGCATGCATTTGTTATGCTAATATTACCCTTTTGTTTAAGCAGCTCATCTTTCCCCCCCACCCCATTTTCTTTTGCTCCCTAGATTGTACGTCAAAGGGTAATTTCAATACTGGTGACCTGACAGCCAATGAATCCAAACCTGTCATGAAAAAATTAAGAAGTGTCCACTTGAAGAGGAGAAACTCCAGTCCATGTCCTCCAGAAAGTTCTAGCTGCTTACACATTGTTGCAACAGTGCAGAGCAGCTAGACAACCAAATCCCACTTCCAATATAGTTCTGCTACTATCCAGTTAACCTACTGTAAAACCATTTATTGTTGTTACCTTTGTCTTAATAGTATCTAGTTCTTCAAGAATTCTCTTGATCTCTGGTTTGGGAGTATTCCCTACCTGTAAATACAGAAAGCACAAGAATGTAGTTCTTGAAATGAACTGCATACCAAACAGAATGTTTCTAGGATAGAGGGAATATCTTGACTATGGTCTTGTATTATAGGTTGACCTCCCTCTGCCCACACCAAAATCATAAGTCTCAGTTGGATCATACAAGTCAACATGCAGGGTCATTAATGCCATATTCTGTGCATGGGTTCTATAGGAAAGCTATTGTGGCCAGTACCCACAAAGCCAGATAGTATGGGCTCTTCTGTTTTGCCACTCTTAAAGAAAACACACAGGGTCATTTGCTCTGCTACCATCATACTACAGCAAAGTGGTCCTGCATAGCACCCTTAAGGGTAGTGGAGCAAGTGACCTTGCACCACATGGGGAGCCACTGCAAAGTCTAAAACCAGCAAGAAAGCCTTGGGTGCCCAACTCTTGGCAGTCCATCTGACAGGATCCTATCCTTAATTTGATTCTGCCATGGGATTTTGGGAGGCCAACAATGGTTCAGGGACATTTCCCCCTCAAATAAGTGGATAATGACAAAGAGCAAATAAATACTATAACCACGGGATTCTGCGTTTCAGAAGAGAACAACAATTCATGGGAAGGCTTGGGCAGCAGCATCTAGAGAAGATGAAATATTGCACTGTCATAGCATAAATAAGACCTCCAGGGTCATCAACTCCAGTACTGTGCTATTACAGGCACCCATATCATCCTTTTTGTACGTTTATGAAGCCAATTCATCCAGGCCTTCCTCTTACAATCTTTATATGAAGCCAACCAATGAAGCTTGGCAAAAGAAAACACTATAGCCTTAGGTTTCTTCTCCCAAGTCCAGCACAATTTGGCGGGTCAATATTCAAAATTATCTCAGCAAGTAGGCTGCTGAAGTGCGACACTTAAGGTGCTTTTTCCAGAAGCTTTAGCAGATGAAATAAGATCAGATGCCATTTAAAACAGCCAATGCTCTCGATGCCTCGTTCTTATTAAGGGGCACAAAAAACATAAGAAAGGAAAATTAATAAAATCAACTATAGTAAGTTTAACATACTTATTCTGATGGACTTGCACCAAACAACTTCTTACCAAACTCCTCCAATATCTTATTGATATTAGACAATCAAATACAATTTTGCTGTTTGTCTATTAACATGAAGGACTACATGAACTAAACCTTGGATCAAGTTTCAGATTGGGAGAATCTTGAATCTGGGCCAAATCCAAAATCCATGGTTTATAATCCATCTCTACAATGGCTTGGACAGAAACCTTTTATGTCAACAATGAGAAGGTTTTGATGATGATCCCCAATATAAAAGTTTAAAGATGAAGCCTAATTAATTGATATTAATGATAAAAGCACTGCCTATCTTATCAAGGAAGAATAAAAAAAGATGAGAAGCTATGTGAATACTGGTGGCTATGGGATAAGCTGCCATGAACGGTGGAAGGAGTGACATTTCTGGTCATCTTTATTCATCAGGTCAGACATAGTAGGGGAAAGGCTCAGTAGCCTCTCACCATGAATAGAACTGATGGATGTCTGCTATCAAAAGTGTCCATGCAAAAGAGCCAAGAGACGTTGCAAGTGTTGCATGCTGCTTATTGGCAAGTTTTAGCCTCCAGGGAAGTTTAAGGCAGCTCCCTGACATACAAGTCAAAGCAAACCTGACTGCTCCTGGGCAGATGCATCATTGACGCTGCACTTAACAAGCAGGAGGAAGTACTCCCTTAGTTCATATCATGAGCCAAGGTCTGTGGTGTAGATGCAGCATGTGACTTGTTCAAGCCTACTAAAAAAGAGTTGGGGATTAGGCTCAAAGTGCTAAGGGTGTATGTGCATTAAGTTATAAAAGCAGCCCAAACCTCATAAAAACCCTCAGTCTATGCACCATCCTAAATGTCTTCCCAATGTGATACAACATACAATTTTCCCTACATTTTCAAAAGAATAAAGTATAATACTACCAAGAATAAAACTTACTTGCAGAAAAATGCCCACTACAGCTACTCCGTCACGTTGTTTCAAAGCTCCAGCAAAGTTACCATGTTTTGGATTCCAGTGCACCATGTGAAGCTGAGGACCAAAAGGAAGCCAAATTTTATTAATGCTGTCAATGACAATCCTGCTTTCCTTATGCATTCCACTGAAACTTGAATATATGGAGAATGCAGGTCTTGGCATAAACATATAAAAAGTATATCCTATCCCTTCTAGAATTCTTCCTTGTGCTTCATGCAACAACTATTTGTCAGTCATTTGGCTGCATTCAAAAATATGGAGATTGGCAAAACAGAAAGCTTGCTTCAAGTCAGTCAGATAGTGTAAAAAGAATTAGTTATACACGTATCATGCACTGTTGGAATTACCCATTGATGCATTTAGTCTCAACCAGATTTTCAGGGTTGAATTTTTTAGCAAAAGCCTCCCAATTAAAGGGGTGCTTTATAAAATTACTGTGGTGCAGCTCTTTACTCACCTCCCTACAATGAAGCAGTAGAAAAAAAAAGAGCTCCAAAAATAAAATCAAATCACTATTTTACTTTCAGGACATCTTTCAATAGGTTTTTTATTTCTTCTTCCAGAGGCATTCCAGACCCACTTCTCTTTGTATAGTTGAGAACACCATCACCACCACCACTCTGGAATGTGGAAATATGTAACGGGGTGTCAAATATATGGCCTGAAGAACTTTATTATCTGGCCTGAGGCACTATGTGTGGGTCTCTGAATGAACCTACATGCTGCACAAGGCCTGTGCTGTACTGGCCCCACGTGCAGCATGCAAGGCCAGTCCAGGTCACATGCTGCTCTTCCAAGGAAGACGCTACATGTGCCTAATCTAGCATGCAGGTCTGCAGTCCCCAGTTAGCCCATACTATTCGTTCAGTGCATAGGGCCTGAGGAGTGCAACACCCTGATGAATAGAATATTTCTACTACTGACTTTCTAATGAAAATGACAAACAGCACAGGGATCCAAGATTCCCTCTTCCCAGAGGAGTGTCCTAATCATTGGGCCCCATACTGCTTGTTCTTCTAGGACTCTTGCATTCTTGTCAATGCACTGGCTCAATTTCTTGATCAGAATGGGGTTCTCAGCTAGCCAACTGTGTAACCCTGCGGCTAGAGCACTCTCCCAGGAAGTGAAAAAGTGTAGATTTGCATTCATTTATACTAAGGACTGACTCAAAGTCAAGTTTTATGCACTTAACATGCAGCCCTTGGTCAGATTCCTAAACTCTGGAGAAGCATGGCTAAATAGACACCTCTTGCTTAGTGTTGCCCATCTCTAGGTGCAATCAGTTACCTTTAGAGATGTTCAGATATCTGCCCTTTTAAGAGAGCTTATGAACCACTTCCCTTTGCTAACGCTACAGAGAGCCTAGGGACCCAACACAGTCTATTTGGATTGCCATCTTGGGGCCAGACAATTTTTAGGCACTGGAATAGCCAAGTGGAAGCTTAAGGAGCCATTTTGGGTGCTGTCCAAGGTCTCAAATTGTACACTAGCTAAGCTTTTGCTTGGTAGAAACAAAAAGCAATCCACATCCTCCACTTACAAATAGGAAGGGATGCATGTGCATGCACACATGGCTGATGCTACTAAGCATGGAATCCACAAGGAAAAAAAAGTCACTCATAGCACCATTCACACGATTTTGGGTTAGTCTATGATGAAATAGATTCTGTCTACCAACATTTTCTTTGCATGAGAGAGAGGCAGATAGCTCTGCCTTTGTGGTTGCAAAGTCAGAACACTGACATACCACTGCATACCCTTCATACAAAGTAAAATAAAAGTAGTGCTTCCTTGTCATGGAAATACAAAGGCCCAAACTGTTTTACCAGCAGATAAAGAAAGAAAATGGAATGTGTTCTAATGCCAGTGAACTGGTAACTTAACCCTACTAATTGTTGGGTTTGAGTCAACATTTAATTTAAGGAGTTTGGCCCTAGAGTACTTTGGCATGTTCATATTAAAACAAACCATTTCTTGAAATGGCAAATCTGAAGGATTCTAATAGCCAGTTAAACCAATATAAATCATTTTACACATCTGGAAAAAAAATGGAACACTGATAACAGCTGTGTTCTCTGAAAAACAGTGAGCAAATCTTGAAGCACTGATGATTTTTCAGGCTAGGGTACATTTAAAGAAGTTATGATATCGCTATTGTTGCATTTTGTTTGTACAAACATCTGGGGACAAATGATTTACATTTGATATACACAGAAGTAACAGGTTTCGTTAAACAACTATTAGACAGCCATTCAACAAACAGAAATAAAGTACTTCTGAGATTAAAATTATTCATTTTTCCCAGCTGCATGCAGCCATCAAAACTTCAGTTAGGTCCATTGGTTAATGAGGGATGGGGCAGGGAAGAGAAGGAGGGGAAAATAAAAAAGATCCCACCTCTGCTGCATGTTTCACTCCATCAATAATATGCTCCGAACCATGATCATCAGAAGAACCCCAGTGAAAGTGAAGCTGGCGTAGCCTGTAGGCTCCTTGGACTGGCCCACCTCTTAGCACTGCAATTGAGAACATTAACATCAGACTTTTTATAAGAAGCTCTACTGCACAGTGATTACACACCTTTGTCTAAAAGGGCCCAAGCCTTATGAGAACAATAAGCAAGTGTCAAGCACTCCTTAACAATTCCATTACAAAAAATATCCATCATATCACAGGTGTGTCTGGCAACATTACAGGTAATAGTTACACGTTTGGATCTGGGCAGAGCCAAAGGGATATGGAAAGAAGTTCATTTTTATGCACGTGTCCTCACAGACATGTAATACTGCAGGCTATTTGTAAGCAATGCCAGTAGTATCCATCAAGGCAAGTAATTGTTTTACACCTCTGTGCCATCACCATTTTTTAAAAAGCATCTGGCACAAGGGAAACCTGTCTAGCCTCACACCAAAATACTTCTCATCCAAAATAGAGGATAACTTCTCTCTAAAGAGATTTTCAATGAGGTACTAAGAAAAAAAAAAAAAATAGAAACCTAAGAGCACCTGTAATCCATAAACAGAATTCTAATCCTCCCAAAAGGAAGAAAGGTTTTTTCCATTTTGTTGGTAGCATGGCATAAAACAGAAACCACCAAAAAGTCTGTCATGACAATATAAGCAGTAACTCTAAGGGATAAATGCATCTCTTTCAGGCTATCATCAGTTGTAGGAACATAAATTTTAAGATGGGTTTTCCAGGTTGTGAGGTAATGAACTCCCAAGGATCAACTATAAAGAGCCCAGAACAAGTATTCAAAGACCAAATTCATGTAGGAAAACATGGCTCAAAAACACAGTTCATAAACAACAGGGATATTTATTTTCTTTTGGGTTAGGGCTTACAGCTTAAAGGCTAAAGCCACCAAGACATGGCATTGTTGAATGTTGCCACACCTACCTTTTAAGTAGCTGGCCACAGCAGAAGATTCCACAGTCCTGAACTAGGCACCTAAAAATCCCTGTAGAGTGCCTGGGAAAGAGGTACTTTCCCCAACAGATTCACAACAGCCAGCACAGGGAGGCAGGAACCTGCCCAAGGAAATACTTCACAGGGGCTGGGGTGCCTTAAGTCCCATACCTTAGCTCAGATGTGCTCAAACTCTGGCACAAAGACTGTGCAGCATGGCATCCAATCTTGCAGAGCTCCCCAAGGGTCAGGAAACTTGGTGACAGGTAGCAGCTTAGTGGCCACTGCTTTCCTGTCTCACTGCCAAATGTCCAAGCCCCACAGGGCCAGGCCACACCTCTTCCCCTCCCTCCGCCCCCAGCAGGATTGCGGCTTGGCCATACTCCTTTCCCCCTCATGGGGTCAGCCCATGACCCTTCCCCCTCAAAGGCGCAGATCAGGGCCAGGCTGGGCTGCAGCCTGACCCTCCCCCCAGAACATACAGCTGGATCATGCCCCACCCTGCATGCTGGATCAGGCATAGAGACCAGATACAGCCCACTGATGGACTGAGCACCAGCCCCAGGCTGCTATTCACAGCCTTATATCAAGGCTAGCACCCAGAACCCTCTTCCACAGCTCATTCTGTAATGTATTCCTAAAGGGAAGCCTGGTTAACTTCTCTTTTAAAAAGAGATAGTGGTGGTGCTGTCAGTATACTGTTACACAGCAGTTGGAGCAAGTGGGAGGCACAGATTCAATGCTCTCCTCACCCTTAGGCAATTAAAACCCACTTTACCCTACTCTCAGGGGAGTGCTCTCCCCACCAGCATAGTGACATGCATGGAACAAAGCAGACAATTTCCACCCTCCAGTTGAAACTGTTCTAATGTGCAATAAGAATTCTGTGGTCCAATGAAATCTCAAACAGTAGTAAGAGAGAAAGGCCAGATTAGCAATCTGAGCATTTATATAGGAAAGGGAGACTTGGTTCCAGGCCTTGCTCTGAAGGCTATTTATGCATTTTGTATGAGACAGTTGCTGGACGATATACAAAAATAGTCTTCAGAGTACAGGTCCATGAAAGGGACGGAACAGTCAAGAGGTACTTATTGAAATGTAGACCACTGTAGCAGCTGGTGCCAGAAAGGGTAGAGCTGGGTACATCCCACCTACCAAGTCCACTGACACACACAAGCCCCAGACGCTCACTAGCAAAGCTATTCCAGGCTCATTCCTGGCAGCTACTCTGAAGCCCTCAGAAACCAAGGGCTCAAAAGAGCTTAGAACAGCCTCCAGTCTTGAGTCTGCAGGCACTTTACGGACCTGGAAGGGAGCAATGTACAGTCCCGATTGGCAGTTATTTTCCAATAAAATAATGGGAAAATATATAGTTATGAGGTTACAGTTTGTCAGTTGATTAGTTCTGGGGAAAAAAATTGCAAATAAAATGAGACCCGTTTCAAGTCATCCCGCCTAACAACTGCCTAAGCACACTTCCAAAGTTTTCAGCAGAATTTTGCATAATTCATAGTGTAAATGTAGTTTTCTTCTCTCCAAGAAAAGGTTCAAAGAAAAAAGCCTCTGAGAAATAAGGAGTTTGGAGAGGGACTAAGCTTCTTTAGATTTGTGACTTTAAGTTGGTATTGGGGTGTACCGACAGGCATGCTGTGTTGTAAGTTTGGGCCCCTTTTTGAGCAGATACCAGTATTGGATAGACTCTAAATTCATGCTCATTCATGACTGAAAGCAAGACTAATACCCATGCCTCCTGAGGCAGAAAGCCGATAACACTCCATGACTGCAGCCCCAAAAGACTTGGAATAAAGTTTTGACCTCCAACAATAGCTTGTAAGTTCAAAGTTAACATTGATACAATTCTTAAATCCTCCTGTGCATAAACACTGTTGGTCTCAATTAACACTTGATATCATGCATACTAGATTACCTAGGGATTAAAGGATGTGCTAGCTACAGAGGGAAGGCTTACTAGTTGGCATACATCCTAGTCATTGGGATACATAAGCAAACATTGTGCTGGTTTCAGCTGTGCAATTCTCATAACTCTTACTGACTTTGTAATACATAAATAAATCATAAATAAATTTTCAGTTTTAGAAAGTCTTTCATCAGGAGCGATCAACATATCTCCATTTCATATTTACACGCAGGAAAGTTGAGACAGAGGTTAAGACCCAGATCTTCAATGCTATTTAGGCATCTTGTTCATTTACTTGCAAGAGCAATCAATAGCAAAAGTTGGAAAGTTACTTAAAATAGTTTTCTAGCTGCCTCCCTGTAGAATAAACTATGGGGACAACACTGAAATGGTTTGTTAATTTCTTTAAAAAAAAATAAATAAAAAAATAAAAAAAAAAAAACTTGCATTAAGCAGGGGGGCGGGGTTGGTAACAGAGTAAAAAGTTTGAGGGAGATTAGATTAAAATAAGATCCTGTGTTTAAATTTAGGTTTCCTTTTGTAGTTAACTTATCAGGGCTGAAACTGTTATTCTTTACTATTTCTAAGGCCACAGAACCCAGCATGTCCACTTGTTCATCACAAGTTGGCAAACATGCGTGTCAGAGGAAATGCTGGGCTAAGCATTTAATAGCAGAATTTTAATACAAATAGCTTATGTACATGCTACTGCCAAAAATAAATGAATTGCTAAGGAGTGCTTCGGTGAGGCAACTGAAGACAACTTGCAGGGAATGCGTCTGAACTGTGAAGCTCCAAACTCCTATCCTGTAGCCATCAGGACATCAATGGCAGAAGGGTGAGAAGTACAACTGGTAAGCAAATTTGCATTTGGGATATCTGGGGAAGGGGAGGGGGGGTGCATCTTTGTCCAAAAACCTACTGAGCAATTCTCCACCAAACAGCTGAGGTGTTTATTTTTATTTAAAAGTTCAAATGTTAAAAATATTTCTAGCAATGATGGGACAAAACAGGTTGTGCACTAAAAAAAAAAAAAAGGTGCAAGATAAACATTTTTTCACATATTGTTTGCAATATATTGCATGGTCTTTAAGTCTTTCCATCACATATCAGTTGCGTGTGGCTGGAAAGAGCCATAAATATGGATATGGTCACAATTGTTCAAAAGCGATGCAAATATTATTGTTACTATAGTTTACAAGATATAGTGCTCACTTGTGGCATCATAGTTGGTTAACATGTATATTTTGTGCCATCAATGCAAGTGTTAATTTTTACAAAAAGAATGAATACATAAATCTTGCCCCAACTTAAAAATTTAAGTGTGGGGGGAGAGAAGAAGAAAAAAAAAAAACAGTGGACATCCAGGACAGTAAAGAAGAAAAACAAGCAAACAACTAAAAGCAGAACATTGGGGCTTGTCCCAGGGGTTTTGTTATTACACTGGGGGGAAATTAAAACCAAAATCTGCATTGCAAACAGATTTGATAAAACAAACAGAGCAGTAAGCACAGAATACTCTGCCTTTTGAGCTTTCAGTTGTTTACTTTTTCCAAAAAGTCAGCAACTTGTGAACACCTGGTCAAAACTGCACTATTGCAAAAGCTTTTTCACTCTATGGCTGACTGCGCATACTCTTAAACAACAAGAAGTCTGATACTAGCATCCAAGGACTGCAGACAGACATGGGCCCCTTTATTAGACACTGTACAAAACAGAGATGGACACTATCCTAAATAGTTTACAATCCATGCAAGAGAAGAGACAGCACCAGGTGGATACAGCAAAGTAGGAGCCCAAGGAAATAAAGATAGTTGGCATGGTAAGCAGTAGTTAGTGAGGTCTTTCAACATACTGCAGCCACATTTCTTTAATGAAGTAGCTTATCAAGAATAGAATGCCAATGCAAATGCCACCAAAAATAAAATGGGGGGGGGGGGGG